AAGCAGTTTAAAATAAACTAAAAATGATAAATTAATATTTTCATATTTGTCCCTTTTTTCTTAAAAGGAAAGAATGATAAAATACTTTAAGAAAGTTTTCTTAAATAAATTTAGTATGTTTATATTTCTCCATTTCGTAGTCTGATTTTAATTTTAGAGACCGTTTAGTAGTACTGAATTTTGTTGAAGTTGTTGAAATGGATGAAATTCTGATAAAAGTGTTTGAATTAGTTGAATCAATAAAGCGTGCTCATAAGTATATCTTGTTTGTATGTACACAAATTGAAGTCCATAATTAATAGTAACGAAATTCAAGTATATTTATATTTTCGAGTCACTTGCATAGTATAAAGATATTATTTAGGAATCACCTAAAACTCTTTAATAAGTCTATCTCATTCTCGATAAAAAAGTCTATCTCATTCTTTATACTTTTAAAGGGGATTTGATTCGCCGAAAATAACAACAACAATAACAATAACAATAACATCAACAATAATAACAACAACAATAATACTCCCACCGTCACATAAAATTCTTCCCGATTTGACATGGATCGAAGTTTAAGAATGTGTGAATAAAGTAAAAATTTTAGGTTGTAGTCGAATAAAAAAAGTAAATAAATCTTAGTTAGATCAAAGCAATTATATGATAAGTAGTTAAAAATGATTCTAAACAGTAACTTCAGTCGAATTAAATACAAAATTATATGATAAGTAGTTAAAAATGATTCTGTACAGTGACTTCAGTCAAATTTGTCAAAAAAATCAATAAAGCTCAACTTAAATAGATCAAAGCAGTTTAAAATAAACTTAAAATGATAAATCAATATTTTCATATTTGCCCCTTTTTTCTTAAAAGGAAAGAATGATAATCCTAGGGTTGATAAATTCAAATTACTCATTGTCTTCGATTTAGACCAACTCAAAACAAAACTAAATAGAACAACGTGAAATTCTATTTTAGTAGAACTAATTAGTGCACATCAAATCATAAAATATTTTAAGAAAGTTTTCTTAAATAAATTTAGTATGTTTATATTTTTCCCTTTTGTAGTCTGATTTTGATTTTAGAGACCGTTTAGTAGTACTGAATTTTGTTGAAGTTGTTGAAATGGATGAAATTCTGATAAAAGTGTTGGAATTAGTTGAATCTATTGATTTATAGATAAATCTATTTATAATACTTTTATTAATGAAATAAAGAAAAATATTATATAAAAAGTAGCTAAAAATGAATAGTTACAGTAACTTCATCCAATTCAGATAGCAAAATAGATTAAAAAATGTATATGGATAATTTTAAGCCTAATTATAGCAACCGTTAATAAATTACATTTTTTACATATTCAATATTGATCTCATATGAAAGATCACAAAAAATTGTCAATTTTGATATATTTTTTGTAAAAATTGGAACAAAAATGAAAAAGTTATAACACCTTAAAGAAAATTGAGATTTTTTGTAGTTTGGGTCCCACCATAGCATTTCTCTACGCTGCTCTTTCGCACATGGAAACAAAAATAGACACATGTCATGGCTATAACAAAAGAGTGAATTAAGGAGAGCTAGACACTCTAGCATTCATTTTATATATATAAATAGAATAGATAACTATCAATTTTTAATGACCGAAAAGATCTTCAAATAAGAAGTGGTGGTCCTTCCAAAAAAAGAAGTGGAGGATGTTTATAAAAATGTCTGTTTGATTGAATTTTGTTTTGTATATATGCTAAAAATTATAGGCTTTCTTTAATTTGTAATAGTTTAATAAAAATTACACGCTGATTACCTTTTTTTAATGAAGGGGGCTTATATTAAAATAAGAGCATTTAGCAAGGATCTAAAATAACAAGAGTACCACCCATAATCATCCGCCCTTGGGCCAGACTCTGAGTTAATCACCTTTAAAAAAGCAATATAACTCGCTAATCCTAAATTGGGCATAACTGAGCCAATAATGGTTACTGTAGCACACTCATCACTCGAGCCTAATGCAAGAGTCTTACAAAAATAACCAAAACAAATAACAAAAACAACAGTCTGACCAACAAAAGAAACAAAACAAGCAATAATAAAATAAGCACCACGCACCATGGAAACTCTGCACCTGCAACTTCATGAACACTTCAGGCGGGCCTAGGAGCTGAGACCCGCCTCCTCCCCGTTTTTTGTGCTGTCCAGTGCCATCTCCTCCCCTGAGTTGTTTTCCTCTGACGCCTCCTTCCAGACTCTCCTGCGCTTCTGATCCACCGCGACCTCCCATGCACCGCTCCTAGTCTCTTCCTTTGTGCCACTGCTTTCAGACGCAGCTGTACTTCCCCTACGGTCCTGTCTCATAGTGCCTTCTTCCTTTTGTTGAGCCCTCCATTGCAGACTCGAACCTCCCTGTTCAAACCCCAGCCACTTGCCGCCCCTCGTGGGGCTAATCTTACCCCCACCACCTGCTCTGAGATCAGCACTAAAAGTTTTCTCCAAAACTAGATCCTCAACATATTTTAATAGGCAAAACTTCTCAGAGTGCCCCATAATCCGACAAATGAACTAGAAGCTTGGTAGTTTTTCATATTTAAAATCTACCCAATGTCCTTCCCCTCCCTTAGTCAAAGTGGAACTTAACCCTTTTTTAGGGGTCTTCTTACATCCATCTTTATCCTAACCCTCAAGTAAGAACTCCATTTTTACTTTAACTGGCTTTCATCAAAACTAATAAATTCCCCATATAGTTACCCACCCTCCTAGCAGTATCAACATTCATAAACTTATACGGTACATTGTGCACTTGCACCTAGAACTCTGTTTCAAATAAGTCCATAGCTGATTACCTTACTAAAATGTACGAAGCACTACGTATTTGTTTTCTCATTTACGTGTAAACTATCTTTTCTGTTTTCGAGTTTTTCTCCTCAAAGCTCATATTGTACTATAAGCATCCGGATTCTCATTTGGTGGAGGCTTCGCAATCCACTCGAAATGAACAATATTACAATAATAAAACTTCTCAATCTCCTTTTATTCCTATTTTCATACTATTATTATATCATGGGCGGATCCAGGATTTCGAGTCAAGGGCGGTAAATTTTTCTTTTGTTAGCGTAGGGTGCGAAAAAATTTCATCATCGTAGGGGGTGAAATTTTTTCTACTGGTGTAGCAGAGTGAAATTTTTTCGCTAGTGTGTAGGACTCTACGACTATTTTTTTATTCAAAAAAATTTCGTTAATACATACACGACGGCATTTAAATATGTTACATTCTAAGTTTAGACAATTGAAAAATAACTTTGATTTTATAATTCAAGTGCTATAGAAAAAGCATTGATGAATTAAAGCGTAAGAAATGACAAATTGAATGAAAATTATTTGAAAATAAAAAGGATATTATTAATACTTTTGAATATAAAGAGCTTCAAAGGTACACATACATCAATACTTTTAAAATAACTTTTGCATTGTTTAAGCACATGAATCTCATCGGATTTTTGAATTACAATTTTTGTCTACCAAGATAGGTGTTCGTGAGTCACGAAGAGTTTCCTTAATATTACAATAGTATGTATGAGATTATTATTTTTCTTAAAGTTTATTATTTATGCAATAAATTGTGTAATTTAATGTCAATAAACATATATATTTTGGATTCACTTGACATGATCTAAAAATTTGTAACTAGTGTGTTTTGTATTTAATATTGTTTGATATATATTTAACAAAATCGAGTACTAATTAAGATAATTAAACACGAAAAAAATAGAATTTTTTTTAATAAGTATCCTAAATCTTAAACAATGAGTTGTTCTATTGTTTATTTGCTTAAGTTATGTAAATTATTTTAGATGTTTCTTCTTTAAAATCTCAAATAAGGATTAATTATTATATTATGTAAGACTATTAATTTTGAAAACTAAAAGTTAAGGGGGGCGAATCCAATTAAGGTGTGAAAATTTTATTAAAATATTACATATATGGTAGAAAATTTTGAAAGTCCAAGAGGGCGGTCGCCCCCGCCCCTAAATGCATCCCTGATTATATTTCAATTATGGGTATTTTGTCGGGACATACCCAAAGATCCAACACGCAGGAATATAATGAAGGATGTCATCAAATAAATTAAAGTCCTTTACCGCACGCTCTAGGGACATACTCCGTATATAAACTTAAGTCTTGATCAGTCTTGATTTAAGTGCTTAATCAACGTAAGATATTCAATCGTAATTATTCGAATATAATTTCATACGTAGTATATCTCTAATTCAACTGATTTGTTCAATAACTAAAATAATTAGGGCTCGAATGACTTTTTTGATTGAAGTGGATGAAGTCATGACTGCACAAGACCATTTTAGGTATTTATGTATTTTTTCAATAATCAAAGTAACTGTGGTTGAATTTACTTTTCTAGCTGAATTGACCAAAATGATTATAGAGGATCATTTTAATTATTTTTCATGTATATTTTATTTTATTAGTATATAACGTACGTAGTATATTTTAACATAATTGAGCAGGTTCGCTCAATTTAATTGTTTTAGCCAAAATTTCATCAATTATAACAGTCAAATTATTAAGTCAATTTTAACATTGTCAAACGGGTGTACATTGTCTTTTATCTAAGCTAGTGGAGTGAATGATACCTGCATGGGTAGCTCAGTTGGTTGGGTAGTGGAAATTTGGAACAATGACCAAAGTGCGCGGGTAGTTCGAATTGAAACCCGCAACGATCGTGTGAAGGTTACAACTCAAGCGTGCTGGGCTGGACCTCTGGTGCGCACGAGTATAAAGTCTACCACAATTTTTCGGATTGAGTCACCGTGACTTACCCTTCCACCCTGAGATTCCGCCTTTTTTGGAATACCCTTAGAGTGAATGATCACATGGTGCTCTCTTTTATCGAGTAGAGTGAATGATCACATGTTGCTGTCTTTTATCTATTAGAGTGAATGATCACATGCATGGGCACATATAAGCCTTAAAGGCCACCGCTTCACATGTTGCCCATCAGCCAAAAAGCTTGGCCACCGGCCGGTTCTATTTTAAGTAGTCATGCCACTATTTAACCCCCTCTCCCCTTCTCATTGGATCCATAATAAAACCATATATAGTCTCCTCCCTGAGCTCTAGCTTACCCCTATATATGTACGTTACAATTACCTTCCTAGCTACCATCAACCATGCATAATAATCCACCCGATCATCCATCATTTAAAACTAGCTAGCTTATATAATTAACAAGAGCTAAATACACTATATTTTATAGCATTTGGTTGGGCGGCCGGCGGTATGTCCATCGGTGTTTTATCGGCGGCATCAAGTGGCGTTTTTGAAATCTACGGCCGCTACTCGAACGGAGGTGCCGATGTATTAGGTAGCCGTGGCTTGCCTAAGAATGGAGGCTCGAGGTACTTTTCCTACTTGGTATAGGGGCGGAGCCGGGGGGGGGGGGGGGGGGAGCAGGGGGGTCAGTCGACCCCGCTCAAAGTTTGAGAGCATAGGGTTCTGAAATATCTTCGATTTGATATATTACGGCCCCCGTAACTCATTACGAGTAAAAAGTTATGATTTCTGCAAAATCAGCACTATCTAAACGTAAAATCAGCAAAATTTGATGAGTAATATTGATTTTTCCCCCAAATTTTAAAAATAGCGTATAATTAACTCATTACTTGCGTGACATGACTCAAAAATAGAGCAAAAACAGTCTCTTTTATTGTTACGAGTGCCTATTTATTTAAACTACATATAAAATATTCAACTCGGACATTGTTTGGAAACGATCCACCGTTTTCATTTTGTATAAAGTTGATTCCCGACCCCCTGAACCGTATTTCTGGCTCCGCCACTGCTTGGTATGTAGAAGATTTAGCAGTGTAAGTTTATTGACATCTATATATATGTACAAGTATTTAATTCACATGATGAGTTGATGACATCAATATATGTACGACATTATTTAAATTAAGAACTTTTTTTTTCTTTTTTTTGTTGCTTTTTTGACATGTTTTGCTGCTTATTAGAATTAACTCTTGAATTACAGCCTTCATTATGCAAAAGTTACAGCCTTCATTGGGAGTTCCTTGTTTTGGCTCCCATGCATTTGCACTGTCAACATTGATTCGCACAAGGTATTTACTACGTGTATGTGACGTATGTCAGTGTGTTTCTTGGTCAAACATGTAGGTAACTAGTTAAAGACTTGGGGTATTTGAATAAAGAGGGAGAATTTGACTTTCATCCCATTTTTTTTTGGGTGATATTGAACTTTGTATTTCATTTAATTTTTTTTAACTTTGCACTCCAACACATACTATATTTTATGAAGAAAAATTACTACATGGGATGAAAGAAAATTTAAGTGGAATGAGTTGCAAAATCCAATAACACCTAAAAAGTGAGGTGCAAAATCAAATTATCTTGAATAATAGCTTTTTACTCTACAAAGTCATACTCCGTATTTTACAACGGTAAATGCAACATTTTAACCCAATCCACTGAAATACAAATAGGGTCATAGTTCCACATACGTAGTACTCCGTATAATTATGGTTGCTAATATAACTAAGTTAAATAACTTTAATTAAAAGCAAATATCCTCATAAATTAAATTAATATGTTGTACCGATAGTATTATTTAATATGTACTTTGAATATAACCCTCATTAGTCTCAATCATTTGGATATATAAGTGATTAGTAGCCACCTTTTCATTTCAAATTCGATGTTTGTACTCATAAACAACTATGTCAGAATGTCAAATAAATGACCCCATTTTAGATCTTTTATTCGTGTTTTCAATATCATCTTTTGATGTTTGAATTAGTAATGAGAAAGAGATTCTATAGTATTTTTCTGGTATATTCAAATAATTCATACTATTACAAATTACTACTGAAATACTTATTCGGTATTATTATTAGATTATGAGAGATGATAGATATTATTTTAATTTGTTTTCTCTATAATAAAACTATTTTCTTTGTAAAATTGTTGTTTCACTGCATGTTGTCGTCACCTACACCAGACAATGAATTTCAATATTTATCATTCGGATAAATCGTCCACATACAAGAGTATCGATTGCCCACTTTCAAATAATGGATGCCCATTTGAGGCCGGATACATGGATGGATCGTCCGCTACGGGGGTGCTCATATCAGACATAGCACACCTAACGACTTATGATCACCAACATAAACACATTCAGGCTGCTGTTACATTCGGGTATGCACGTAATTAATATACATACATAATTTACATTTGTAAATGCATGCAAGTTGATGAATAATTTTTGATTATGTTTTATTTATTCTAATTTGTTAAGACCCGAGTTTCCATCCTAAATTAAAAAGTCCTAACCTGAAAGGATGAGTAACTCATGTCCTAATATAACACTTTGTTGATTCAAACTTTTCCGGTGTGGGCTTTCAAATAAATTTTTGTGTCACTTTAATATACAGTAATAAATAATTTTGTATTACAATATTAAATGATTAGCATTATAATGATTTAACACCATGAATGGGAAGGTCAGGTGGAAAAGTAGTTTTGACTTTTTTTACTATGTTTGTTCGATGTTAGGTGTGCATCCAATGTAACTTGTTACTGTCAAGACTATTCAGCTTTTAATGGTTTGTTGGGGCTAGGGCCGGGTAATGAGCCCAATAATATGGATGCCCTCAGCATTCTTGCTGCTCAAGGGATTGTTGGCAATTCCTTCCTCTGTTTATGGTCCAGTGGGAATGGGACATTATTGATATTGGGAGACAAAGGGACAGAGACCCCAATGAGAGGGAAACACCATTGAATCTAAATATACAAAAGTACGTCCTCTACATACTCAGCTAGGTACGTACTTCTCCAATCTTTTCATCTAATTTAATACTCCCTCCATCCCCTTTTAAATGTTCCCGAAGAGGATGACACGAGTTTTAAGAAAAGTGGGTTTGTGTGGTTGCTAGTTAATTGATAAAGTAAGAATAAAGCAAGAATGATTTTGAGATACACAAACTTTACCAAATAAGGTATGTGATAATTAAATAGGGACATCCCAATATGGTAAAACATGACATTTAAAGGGGGACGAAGAGAGTACTATATATCTATACACGTAGTATATGGTAATCTTGAATTTCTTAAAATTATTATATATAGTTTGTAGAGACTTACTAATGATGTTTAATTAATCTTGCTCTACAAGATTTCTTAAAAGGTAGATTCTATGGTACGCATAAGGCACCATTCCTTTGTTTATATGAACCAACCAAAATGTTGCAGTTGAATTCATGACCGGCCCACGCTAGGTGTAGGATGTGCATCGGCAAAGGGCCCGTCTAAAATGAAGGCCCAAAAATAACTAGCACTATTCGTTTATACTAGGTATAAATTGTAAATTTGAGGCCTTAATTAAATCATAGTGGCTTTACATATTTTTATTTAATTTTTTTTCTTTTCGAAAACATTTTGATTCATAAAATTTAATATTTACATTTTTGTACATAATATAAACCAATTTTTTGAATGTACTTGCGAATTTGAAATTTAAATTAATTTGAATGACATAGTTAATCCTTCAATTCCCTTATATCATTTGGGTATTTATGAACATAATTTTGAATAAATAACAAACACCGTGTGATTAAAACTTATCTAACAAAGTAAAAATTATTTATTTTAAGAATGATACTATAATGATTTTGTCTAGTGAATATTATGTTATTTATGTTTGTCTACAATTTTTTTAATGCATTAGTTGATTACATTCGTCAGATAATATCTTAGGCAAGTTCCCCCTCGTGATTTTTTTTGGTACGCCATTGATCTAAGGCAAGTTAGAGCATTTCAACACTAAGGAATTTTGCATTTGCATTGAATAAATTGATATTAAGTCATTAGGTAATACATTTGGTTTCTCTTTGCATTAGAAAAAAGGCCCAATTTTTAATTTCTTCGCACAGGGTCCTGGAATTCTTAGGCCCGGCCCTGGATGAATTATTTAAGTCTAAATTAAAAATGATATACCTATTTGAACCAATTAAGTGAATGATAGATACGGTACCCCATTTCTTAAATGGGTACCGAAGTTCTCATCTTCCTAAAATCTCGTACCACATCATAGATTTACTAGATTTACTATGATGTCTCTATTTCAATACTCGTACAACATTTCAATAATAATACGTACCTTTTGAATTTTCAGTCAAAAATATTTTGCACCACGTACAGTCTAAATTACCTACATGCACCTTCCAAAAAAATGTACTACGTAGGAATAAATTAACTCACGTATCAGTCCTATTATCAGCCTTATTAATTAGATACTGATTAACTCCGTACTAGTGTACTACATACTGATTAAGGATGTTTTCTTTTGGACTGAAATTTGCTGGTCTGATCTGGTCTGGTTTGAACTGGTCTGGTCTGGTCCGATCTGATCTGATCTGGTCTGGTTTGAACTGGTCTGGTCTGGTAAACGTCTGATCTTTGTGTCTGGTCTGGTCCAATCTGATCTGATCTGGTTTGGGACTGAAAATAATTCAAAAGAAAACACCTAACATAAAGTTCAGGTAGTTCAGTTACAAATAAAGTTCACATTATCTAGACATCTAGTGAGATTATTTTGGCCGAAATTCAAATATAACGATACCAACCTCAAACTATTTAATTTACTTAATTATGGTGTCAATATGCTTATTATCATTCAATAGTTTAAGCACCAAAATATAAAATGTGTTCTTCACACATTTATTAATTAGTTATATGTTCTAACTATACTTTTGCAGTTCAACTCTCTAATAAAGGAACCACGCAGCCCGCCAACATATATGGGTTATTTCTAATACTGCTATAACTTGAGGTGGTTATAATCCAAATGTAGGTTTAAGAGTTTTTTTTCAAGCAATCTCCATGCACATATATACAAGTATACCAAACTAATTGAGCTATAATAACAATAGCAGTTTATGATGAATTTAGCATATACTCCGTATGTTTTTTGCAGGTAAAAGAAACCATTTCAACGCTTCTACCTAAGGTAAAAGAAACCACTTCAACGTTTCTACCTATTCTGGGGATGCACAAGCTTCATCATCCATCGCCTATTATAAGAAGAGTTGCATGTTATGGGTTTCTAGTCTATTACATTTTATGCAATAAGAAATTGCTATAAATAGGAGTAAAGAATTAGTGATGTACATAAATAGAATGTTAAGATTTGGGGTTTCATCCTAAAAAGTAACCTTATAAGAAGAGTAACCCAAAATCTTATATGAAGTGTATTGTTTTATTGTCCAGTATCTTATATAATGTTTTATTGTTTATTATGTTTAATATCATGATTCTGGTGTGGGATAAATGTTTTATTTAACATAGGAGTACGACTGTTTTGTTTTAAAAGTATAAAGCATTTAATATTATGTAGTATTATTAAGAGAATAAAAGTGGCTAAAACTTTTTCTTTAAGAGCCAAAATGTCTTATTTTGAAAATAAAATAAGGAGTCGTTCCGTAAATAGAAGTAAATAAAAGTTAAGTTCCAAAATTATGAGTATAAGTTTTGAATTCCCGGCCAAAATATGAGTAGCTCTTCCTATCACCCTTCTCATGCGTGCTTTAATTGGATTTTATTATATTTGTAATATAATAAAATAGAAAATTTAAAAAAAAATACTTAAAACACTAGTAAAAAATGCAGGCTCTAGTCGCCGCCTCAAGCACCTTCCAACACCGCCACCTCCGATACCCAAATAAAAATGTCAATATGTAATAATAATGTCATCTTGATGAAAGTTTAGGAGCATTTTTTTGACATTTTCAAAGAGTAATAATCTCATTTTCATGGTATTTTCAGAGAAATGTGACTTGTTTAAACTACAAATGCCATTTTTTTTTGACTGTCGGTGGTGGCGGTGCTGGGAGCTGAGGCGGCCGAGGCCTACTTATTACGGAGTATTTTATTCTTTCCCAATTTTTTTCATTTTCATTATAAACTTTGAAACATTTTTAATATGATACGAAGTATGTTTTATATTATAAATAAAACTATGATTTTATTCATGCTGAGTTGTCTTAATCGTACTTTCCTCATATCCTTCCCATGTACACAATAACACAATTGATGAGTTTTTTTATAATTAGGGAAAATTGTCAAATAAGTTCTTCTATTATTGTCAAAATGTCAATTGAACCCTCCTACTATCAAATCACCCAATTGAACCTCAAACTTTGAAAGAAACAACAATCTAACTTTTCACCGGGTAAACCAACGGTGACCAAGTTAAAATGTTTAAAGCATTGTTTACATAAGCTTAAAAAAGTACTTTTGAGCTTTTAACTTTAAAAATTAAAGCAGAATAGAGTGTTTGCAACAACCAACTTCTAATTAAAAAAAGCATTTTAAAGTTAAAAGCTAGAAGCTGATATACACCAACTTCTAAGTGCTTCTAGGTATTTATTTAAATAAATCAAACTTTGAGGATGGTTATGATGAAAAATTTATCCTGCTCACCCCAAGATACCCCTTTAATTCTCTCGTGTCTCTCGTCTTCCCGTGAGTCGTAACCCCTTTTGCCATTTTTGAAAAACAAAAATGCTAGGAGTACCTCAAATATACCCCATTTTATACCCCATATAAAAACCATTCCAAAAAAATTTTTACCCCCCTCCCCATTCCCTCACGTGCGCCCCCCCCCACCTTTTTCCCTTCTCCTCACCAAATCTCCCGCCCCCCACTTTTTCCCTTCCCCAGACAGTTTCGAAAAACTCCCCTCCCCACCATCACCGACCTCCAGCCTCCCTACCGTCACCGACCTCAAACCTCCCCACCGTCACCGACCTCAAGCCTCCCCACCGTCAACTCCAGAGTCGTCTGCCACAAACGCCGTCCTCTGCCCCACAAATCGTCCGCCACAACAGCTGTCAAGCGCGAGGAGCCGCCGTCAACCGCCGTCAACCGGAAACCTCATCGCCGTCAACTGGAAACCTCCTGAACTGTTCACCGTTGAACGAACTGCCCTCCTGAAGGTTCTAAGGTCCAACTTCATCCAAGCTTAACACATATGGCTGAAAGGTATGTAATGTTTTTCAATTTTTTTGGATTGATATTTTCTTGGTGTGTAATTTTGGTGTTGTTTGTCATTGTGTTTGTCTGACCACTTTGAACTTGTCTGTGCATGGTTATTTGGTTGTGTGTGTCAGTTAATTTTGAATTCTTGAAAATTGTCTGTAATGTCATTATAGTGGTCTGGCCAGGTGTATGAGATGTCTGTCATTGGAAATGGATTGTCTGGCAAGCCATTGTACTATTGTAGTATTCTATGTAGATGTAATTTGTGATTTGGGATGTAACCAATGCAGCATTTCAGATGTCTGGCAAGTTTGCTTAATGAGATGTTTTAAATGTAAATTTTGTAAGCTAAGAATGCTTTATAATGTATGAGCTTTGAATGTTATTTTTGAGTTATGAATGGTCTATACACTAAGTTATATGTCAAACTGTCAAAGCATACTCTTTGCTCTGCTTTCAGCTTTCTGAAATATGAAAGTTGATTTATAAGCTTTCTGGTTTAAAGTATGAACTCCAAGTGTAAAATATCCTTTTTACCAGATGACCTTCTTTTACTTATCAGTTTTTCTTGCATTAATGTCTAACAAATTTAGACATTAATTTGTTCAACCATATAACCTTCCTACAAAATACTCAACACAAATTTATACATTAATATGTTCAACCATATAACCTTCTTACTAAGGACAGACATAGTTGTCTGGCAAACCATTAAAATTGTCTGGCTCCTCATTTCGACATAGACTTGTTGTGCATGTGATATGAAATTGTTTATATTGTTGTGTAGTTGTCTGTCCTGTGAACACACTTGTCTGTCAAGTGATATACAATGTCTGTCCTTCTTTCTGAGTTGTCTGAAATGTTTGATTTGTATTTGTGTTAATTATACAAGTCATTTGAAGTACAAATTCCAGTTCGCAAGCACTTTCCAGCCCAGTTATCTGTGTGCTCATATTTCAGAGAGGCTGTAAGCTTGGTAAAAGGTGCGCTGACAAAGGATCAATTGCAAGAATGTCGTGTCAAAAGTAATAACATCACCAAAATCTTTGTAAGCATATCGACATCGATTGTCCGCCCAAAATACATTCCGTAAGCGTGACTCTTCATCCAAATCAAGCATAAAGAAGAACCCGGAGCATTGTGCTTGCATTTTTAAAAAAAAAATCTTGCAATGCAACTGCATCACCAACCCCCAACCTAAGTTGACGCACCTTATCTATATAGTTCCGACAATCCTTTTCAATGAATGGAAGTTGATCATATCCACCCGCTTCTACGACCTGTGAGTGGAAACTCTTATTAAGTCGTATACCCGCGACATCATTGATTGCAATTTGCTTCATAGCTTTTGGTGTCAACCTCCTATAACACCGAAATAGTCTAGCCTTCGTTGGACTCATAGGGTGGTTATGATCTAAACAACACGTTGAAATGACCCATGCTCCTTCATAATTTATACGTGCTCTAATTTTAGCCAAGCAACCAAATTGCATTGAAGGTTGAGGTTTAAAAACATTTTGTGCCCGACTTTGTCTATTTCCCGCATGCCCGCACTGTAATGCAATTGCAATTTTGCTTCCTTCCGCGTCTTTCCTTGAATTTCGTATTCTAACAGGAAACCCTACTCTTCTCCCGTATTCCTTGTAAAAATCATGGACTGCATCTTTACTTGGGAACTCCATGCCAACAAAGGGAACTTTATTACAAATCTCTTCTTCCTCTTCATCTTTTATTTAATCAAAGGATACATGTTCACTTAAACACACACTTAATATAATGCATCACTTTTAAAGAGAATTACCATAATAGAACTATACATGTTCACTGCATCATTTTACTTAAAATACTTACTCAAGTAAAACAACACAAATGTGCAGTAGAATACATACATGCTTATACATAGTCATATACATTTTTTCCCATGCGAATACAGACATTTCCGCACGCAGACAAACATTTTAAGTTGTCTGGCCGCACACACATTTTATGTACCACTCTACCAACTACGAAACCACGTTCAGTTGAAAGCAAGTATGAAACCACGTTGAGTTTAGGCTAGACAGACGCTGCAAATGCAAGTTGTCTGTCTAACCAACGAAATACCAAAAAATGAGGAAAAATCAACATACCCTTCTCCAAACAGTCCAAAGCTTCAACTTCCACACCTTCTTCAACTTCTTCCCTTGAAGTCGCATTCAGTTCAACACCCACCGGAGCTGGGAGATTACCACCGTCACCCACGGCGTCACCCACGTCATCTCCCCATGTCAAACCATTCAGTTGACCTTCTTCCCCACTCAACTCGTCCAAATGCACCTCAGTCCCCATGATATCCATTCAAGAAGATGAAGGAGGAAGTCTTGTGGAGCTTGGCTTGAGTACTGTAGCAGCCTCGAACAAAGGAAGGGGGGGTGTGTTTTTGACGGAAAAGAAGAGAGTGGGTAGAGTAGGAGAGATGTGAGAGAAAAGGGGGTAAAAAGGATGGTAAAAAGGGGAGGTTTTATATGGGGTATGAAATGGGGTATAGTTGAGGTACCCATAGCAATATTGTTTGAAAAAACCTGCGCAAGAACATAAATCAGAAAAAATGTCTTTTGGAATTTTTTATACGGAGTATGTGATTTCTAAGATGCTTCTGTAAGTTTCACAATCCCGGCCCTTTGAAGTGTGCTTTTACAAATTGGGAGAAAGACCATAATTGACACTAAAGTTATTTATAGAGCTCAAAATGGACACTAACCTTTTTAATGGATCAAATAAACCCATAATTCACCTTTTAGGGTTATTTGTGGACATTGACTAACTTAACGGGGGTTAAAAGGTGTTGGCCGTTAGTTTTGAGAAAACAAACGATGAAACAAGACACAACCCTATTATTCCCATTCCTTCCGCCAAAGCTTCAAACTAGAGCGAAGTCCATTCGCAGGACAAAGGAGTAAAAATTACAAGTCCGCAAATAAACAAGGAAGATGAGAAAATATCTTAATATTCAGGCTTAGAAGAACGTAGTGAATCTGCTGGGAAGGTAATTAATATCTTCTTGCCAACTACGGTGGTTAAGGAAACACAAGACACAAGGGGTTAAAGAGGACTTCCACTACAGCTTTTACTCCATTGCTAACACCAACTCCATCAATACATCAGAGCAAAAATGGTAGATGCCAGTCCAAATTCACGGCTAGAAGAATAGCCAGAATTAAAAGCCGGCCCATAACTGGATTTGGGTGTTATGTTGATGTGAGTACCAGTGTGAAGACTTACAATGTGAGTATATTATACCTAATA